GAAGTTACCTGAGGCTGAGATAAATTCTGATTCGTTTTTTGCTCCTCAACATATGTTAGAAAACCCTGATAGATATAAATATCTACTGGTTAACCTTTATGTTAATGGCCGAAGACAATGATTATTTCAGTAATTCAAGAGATTTATTCACATTGTTAATGGCGGAAGAYAAACACAAACCTTCATAGTCATAATATACAGTACTATAGGTAACGAACCTATTACATCACACCAGCGGACATCTTGGCTTCAAACACTTTTAAGGCTGCTGATACGTTTGACGTGCAAAATCACTAAAGAAWACAAATGTTAAGTTACCCCGTGTTAACACTTATGTTAATGGTGGAAGACAATGATTGCATTTACAGTAATTTGTTTTTAAATCGTTCAAGCGATTCATTCATAGTTCATATCTGACGCAGCCGTGCCGACCCATCAAAACCACAAGCAGCCCAATTTATTGTTCTGGAAAAAAAAAAGGACTTTTAAGGGCGCTCATACCAGTTTCCAAAACTCACGACCACCTGAACTAAATCCGCTGTATCTTGCGTTGTAGAAGGACTGCAATCATTATTTTTTCCAGAGATATAGTTAATAAATAAAAATTAGTTTAATATAAGTTTTAGCAAGATCGGACTTTTCTTGATTTACAATACAATACAATACTGAAGAAATAGAAAACGCGCGCGCGTGCTGTGTGCAGTTTTAAAGCACGTGGGGGTTGGCAGAACACGAGAGAAGTGTTAGGAGAAGCACGACGCGTAGCGGAGTGCTTCTCGACACTTCTCGAGTGTTCTGCCAATCCCCAAGTGTTTTATAACTGCACACAGCACAGCAAGCAAGTTTTTTATTTCTTTTATAAAATGCAAATTACAGGAATGACGAAATTGAAAGTGCGCGCGCGTGCTGTGTGCTCTCATAAAGCACGCGCATCCAACCAATCAGAACGCGAGATTCATAACAGTTATTTTATAAAATACAATACAATATATTTATTTTTAATATGGTGCCTGGACGTTACCTACATAAACCAAATATTGCGTCTTATAAACCAAATATGTGGGCATAATATACGAGAGTTTGAAAAAATTATATGACCCGATTTTGAGAAAAAACGAACGAAAACGTCCTTCTACAACGACAGATACAGCGGATTTAATTTAGGTGGTCGTGAGTTTTGGAAACTGGAATGAGCGTCCTTAAGCTAAATAAAAATGACTTACCTTAATAACATGTTTCATTTCTTTGATTTCATTCTAAAAGTAACCATGCTACACCAATTAACTACACTGCTATACTTGCTACACTGCAGTCAATACTACACTGCTAGGTCCTGCTACACTGCTGCACTGCTACACTTGCTACACTGCAGGCAATACTACACTGCTAGGTCCTGCTACACTGCTGCACTTACCACACCTACTACACTGCTACACTGCCAAGCGACATCTCTATTCTTAAAATTATTAAAACACTCCAAAAAATCCTAATTTCGTGACGGTTATTGTGGATGCATTACTAATCTTAGTCATCTTAGAGACTCGGGAACCTATTTACAGGTATCCGAGTCAACCCTACCCGCAGTGTCTTGCCATTATGATACACGGCGCTTTACAATTAAATAAGTCATGGTATTAATTTAAAAAGGTTTGGCTTTTCTGGACGTTTTCTGCACGTCTGTTTCGACTTCTCTCTGTTCTGTGTAGCTTTAATTAGCTTTAAATACCCGTAAAAAGGAGCACTGATAGTAATTAGAGGGGGTAGAGGGCGCACCTTCGAGCGCATTAAACATGAGCCCTTGGCTCGGGTGAATTGGGCAACCACTCCCCGCATTATCGAAGTAAAACAAATTACCTTTACCTTTTTTGTACGACAATACTGAACTCAGTGCTACTGATGCTACTATGATTTGGAGGGTCAGAAATCTCACCAACACCTGAAGCTCGTGTATTACTTGAACACAACTTGTCCTACACGCGAAATAGATTACACTATTGCTGCAACTGAGTCATCCTAGCATGGCTCTTTGTCAAAAATGCAGGATTCGGAAGTACCTGGATAAGCCAACTGCTGAAAGATTCATAGTGGTCCATGCCTTTGTTATAAAATCAAGGCTGGATCTTTACAGCTTGCTTTACGGTACGACCTGTCTTAAATTCAGCTGCGTCCCCAATGTCTTAATGTGGCTCCACTGGCTGCCAACTAGTTCTCACATCTAATATAAGTTACTTATGCTGGTCCACAAATCATTATAATATGGAGCCGCTCTGACATATTTAGAGGAACTGTTGCGTGGTATGTTTCAACGCTCGCGTTCTGAGGTTAAATAGAAAGAAGTCTTCTTCAAGTCTTGTCGCTGTGAATTTCTCGCTCGTCGTATGTCACAGGATTCCAGCTCCGAATTTTAAAAGCTTGACTGCAAAGTAATCGATATCGACTATGATTTAAGTGTCTTCAAGATCAGATAAGCCAATAATACTGAGTACCGATAGCTTTACAGTCAAGTGTTTGAAATTCGAGTCGGTATCCTTTGCCACTCAATTTTTCGTTTCTGATAAAGATCAAGGCCCCGTCCACACTATGCCGGATAAATTTGAATCCGCAACTTTCACACCGAAACCGAGAAAAAAGTTTTCCGTCCACACATGAAAACGGATAAAATGTTGCGCGTCCACACTAGTCCGATCAGAGACGGCAAAAACGCTTGTTGCACATCAGAGCATGTGCATCGAAGCTGAAATTAAGCCCGCGGCGAATTTTAAGCCCTCCCGCCAATACGGCTAGCCGGCGTTTTCAAATTGTTCCACTCTCGAGACCGTATTCGAAAAGTTCCTTTTTCGATGAAGAATCGTTCCGGATTCGCCCGGATCCTAACCGGATAAATAAAAATTCGGATTCAAATTTATGCGGCATGTGTGGACGGGGCCCAAGTTGGTCGCCTGTGACTGTGAATCACAGTAATGGAACTAATTATTCACAGGCATTCACTAAAAAACAAAACGAATTCACATTCCGTGCGATATTTGTTATCATAATAAGTTTTGATATAAACGTATCGATGAAATATTTACTTTCTCTAGAGTGACCACAGTAAATCCGTGAAACTTTAGTAATACTAAATAGTACAATTTCATGCAAATTCCATTGTTTTCTATTGTTTAATTAGCACTATTTTGTACTATTTAGTAATTAGTGTTTCACGAATTTACTGTGGTTACTCTACTACTGAAAATACTAAAAAGTGATTACATGAGATATTTTCCATATCCTCACAAGTGAAGATATCCAGGACGTCTTTTCAATGTTTTCCTTTAACGCGAGCTCATGCGAATTTGATCATATTCAAATGTTGTTATTCACAACAATTATTCATATTCAAAAGTTATTATTCATACTCGTGCAACCGTGTGATGAGTATCCTGTATACAACTATTTCAAAAAAGGTTGAAAACTTAATACTGCATACTGAATAGTGCAATTCCAAGACAAAAGAACATTGTGGGTCTTGTTAATTTGAACTAAAAAGTAAATATACAGCAATTAACCCTCTACGTGTAGGTAGTATATAGTGTTTCAGATGGAATACACTAAAAATAGAATATATAATTATTATTATTATTCCTACTTTAGACAATGTCACTATGACCCATAATGCACTTTGGTCTTGGAATGCAATCAGATGCAGTATTCACTATTCAACTTTTTTTTAAATAATGTGAGCAAGTGATGCGATCCAAGTTTATATTACGCGATGAGAATACGAACCCAAACTATTGGTAAAATATTAGTGTTACTAAGTTTACTCTTAGTGATATTTTCGCTAAAGATGCTTTTCGAAGGCGGTAATCTACATCGACCCTTCGAGACGGCGGCGTTTCAGAATAGCAAAAGCATCTCTGAAGGAAAAGTAGTTGCCGTGACAAGACAGATAGAGAAGCAAACACCCAGGTCAGTTTGAATGAACTAAGCT